ATTGCTGAGTATCAAACAACTCCAGGCTTAGCAGTATAAAATAATAAGCAGTTTATTATGCTCTGAGCCCAGCATATTCTCTTTATTTATCAAGCCCCTCTTATCTAATTCCTGATGCTTTGATCCCACAATCCATCACTTCAATCATCACTTGCCATTTTCATGTACTTCCTATCCATCACACTTTTCTGGTAAAACTGCAGGCACTGTTCAAATTTAGTGAACTTTATTTCCATAACTATAACCAGGCTATTGAATACTGCTGGAAAAACCTGAACCACTTCAATGATGGTGTATTAGTCCATTTTCACACTGCTGATAAAGACATACCTGAGACTGGGCAATTTACAAGAGAAAAAAGTTTAATGAATTTATAGTTTCACATGGCTAGGGAGACCTCACAATCATGGTGGAAGGCAAGGTGGAGCAAGTCACATCTTACATGTATGGTGGTAGGCAAAGAGAGAGCTTGTGCAGGTAAATTCCCATTTTTAAAATCATCAGATCTCATGAGACGTATTCACTATCACAAGAACAGCATGAGAAAGACCCACCCCTATGATTCAATTACCTCCCACTGGGTTCCTCTCATGACACATGGGAATTGTGGGAATTACAATTCAAGATGATATTTGGGTGGGGACACAGCCCAACCATATCACATGTTGTACGTACTGTCACCTTTCTACCAACATTCTATCAAAAAGCCTTGCTTGATACCTTACTACTAATACACTTTTTAAATACCTTTTTGATAAGCAAAAACATCACCCTGGTATTCCAATTTGAATCTCTTTTAAAATATTACTACATTTTATTAATCAATGTTATTTTCTCTTGTATCTGGTTTTATTTTTCATTCCTTTTGCTCACTTAGCTATAATCTTAATATTTATGGCTTCAATTTATACAACTTCTTTACAAGTTAACAACAGGAATGAAACTTATTCATAAGGTTGTTCCAAGGATTACAGGACAATAATTATAAAATATCAGAAGGTCCTTCTGATTCCACATTATGTAGCTGCCCAATAAGCATGAGCAATTATTATCATTAGCTATGTGTAAGAGTATTAGTGCTATGACTATAAAAATATTTCATATTTTTCTCAGTGAACTAGCTTAGAGTCAGATTTGGTTTTTGACAAAAAAGTATCTTATACACATCAGATGTATTCATTCATTCATTCAACAAATACTTAGAGTCTTCTGTGTACAGGCAGAAAATACTGTCTTCATTTGGGTAGTCTTTTATCCCTTTTAAGACCAGAATATTTTAGAAGGTCTTTTATCCCTTTGAAGACCATAATATCTTTCCACACCGGAAGGTTAAACCAGCCGGCTATTTTAATTTTCTTATGTAAATATCTGCCTATTCAATTTTTACATTTAAATTTTTTGAGTTATCTGAAATATAATTTTTAGTTTGCAAGATAAAATGCCCTCCCTCAAAAACTAAAGCAACCTGACAATACTATTTATTAATTATATTTACAATTTCTTGAAACATCTAGAAGAACTACACTCTCCTCATTTTTGTATTTTTTGTTTTGTTTTGTTTCTTAAGATGAAATTTCACTCTTGTCACCCAGGCTGGAGTGCAGTGGCATGATCTCAGCTCACTGCATCCTCCACCTCCTGGATTCAAGTTAATTCTCATGCCTCAGCCTCTGGAGCAGCTGGGATTACAGGTATGGCAATATCATGCCTGGCTAATTTTTTGTATTTTTAGTAGAGACTGTGTTTCACCATGTTGGCCAGGCTGGTCTTGAACTACTGGTCTCAAGTGATCTGCCTTGGCCTCTCAAAGTGCTGGGACTACAGGCATGAGCCACTATACCTGGCCTTTTTTTTTTAATAGTTTATTTTCCTGTTGTATTTTTCTGCATCAACTGTAGTCTAATTTTGTCAACTAAAGAAGTCACCCACTGGAGACTGTTACAATTGGATTAAACCTAAAAATTAATCTGGAAACACGTGGTATACACAAAGTGCAACCTATCTGTTGCACTTTGGACAGATACCTATTGAAAAAAAGCTAGCATATATGTTACATGCCTTAATACATTTACTTCAAGATTATTAAACAGTTATGATGAAAAGATGTTGAGAAAAATTAAGTTCACCCTGCCCCCATGGCTCCCATGGGGAGGATACCTTTTAGTTTATAATAAGTGGTACGTGGGTAACAGCTGCCTACTTGGTATATTCCTGAGTTATGTGTATATGTAGAACACCTGTGTATTAATAGGAATCACCTGTCAACGAGCAAATAAATGCGTGGATGAATCTCTGCTTGGGGCCTTCAGTCCTGGAGAGGTGCAAGCCCCACAGGCTCTCAGGCCGTTGGTCCCCAGGATAGATCCACTCTGTTGGCTATCTGGGTGTCTGTCTCTCTCAATACCTTCAGCTCGCCTGGGTGGTGGTCTCCTGACTGAGCTGGTTCTTGGGAAAAAGACATCTTCCCTTGCAGGTCCTGATTTTAAAGGAAGAAGCTGCAGGCTCGGTATCTCCCTTTCCAAAGGGACCCACGGAAAACTATTGAAATCATACATAATATGCCATGTATATGTGTGGATTTGCATTTTCCTAGAACCACACAGGGTGTTCTAGGTTTGGTGCTTACATATATGGTTTTCACATACATAAACACCAAAATGTTCTAAAAAATCCATTACTGTCCCATCTCCAATTAAAATGATAGTTTTTTCCTTGCTATTTTTATATTATATGGTTTTTATTCAATTTATTTGCACTAGCTTATTAATATTGACTGATATCCAATTATTAAGCTATTCTTGAGTTCCTGGGGGAACTATCTGGCTGAGATAGATTATTCTTTTAACATGATTAATTTCAATGTGTTCATATATTTATATAGGATTTTTTGTTCTTTGAATACAAGTTCATGAGACAGCTGTAAGTTTCTTTTCAGAACTGTCTATATTTTTGCACACTTTTAAACTTGTCATTTTGTTTAATGTGTGAATCTTGCAAGCAAAATACCTGATATTTTATTTCATATTATTTTTGACATAGGGTCTCGCTCTATACCCTGGCTGGAATGCAGTGGCATGATCATGGCTTCCTGCCGCCTCCATCTCCCAGGCTCAAGCAATCCTCCCATCTCAGCCTCCAAAGTAGCTAGGACTACAGATACATACCACCATGCCCAGATAAGTTTTTATTTTTTGAGAGATGGGATCTCATTATGTTACCCAGGCTAGTCTTGAACTCCTGCACTCAAGCAATTCTCCCACCTTGGCTTCCCAAAATGTTGGGCTTATAGGCATGAGTGACCACACCTGGTCCTGATATTTTAAAAATCTATTTTTCAATCTGCTTTTTAAAATAGGAACTTTAAACTATTTACATTTATTGTCATGACTGAGTTTGCTCTTAATTTTATTTACTTTCTTCTTAAAAAGTCTCACTTGATTTTTTTAATGCTGATGACTTAGAAAGTATAATATTTTATATATTATATATCATTTGTTTTATTTCAAACTCTAGGATGAAATAATAACTTCTGACTATAAACTAGGGATAAGAGTAATAGTTAATGACTTTTCGTTCCTTTGTAAGCTAGGATGCTTTGCTCAATCTTTGAAAACAATTTGTTCTGTTATCTCACATTATCGATTATACAAATGTAATGTAAAATCTTCAGGAATTATTCTGGACATATATAATAATTAAGAAAGCTCTACATGTTTAATTGATTTCAAAGATCATCCAATGGTATTTTCAGTTCATAAATTTCCCACTAAAAATTTTTTTTATTGATATATAAGAGTTGTACATATTTTGGGTGTACATGTGATATTCTGATAACATATAAAATGTGTAATGATCAAATCAGAGGATCTGAGATATCCATTACTCCAAGCATTTATTTTTCATGTTGGAAAAATAAATCTTCTCTTCTGGCTATTTTGAAATAAATTATTAACTGTAATTTCCCTACTGTAATATTGATTACTAGAACTTATTCCTTCTAACTATATTTTGTACCCCTGTTAAGGGATGAAGTTCTGTTCATCTCTCCATCTAAGATCTTAAGATGTTCTATTTTTAAATTCTTAACTTTGATTCACATCTAGAAATGGTACTACGTCTTTGATAAATCTTCATTTTTTGTTTTTTTCTTTAGGGAGGGAACACTGATAATATTTCTCTAATAAAGCACATGTGTTTACAACTACCCTCATAAATGACTGACAACTTGGGCGACTAGATTCCTCAGGCTACAATTTTTCCCTTAATACGCTAAGTATTCCTCTATTATCTTTTGGATTTAGTGTTTTTGGAGAGAAATCTGAAATGTACAATAACCTATTTATTTTTTTCTGTGAGGACAGAAAAGATAATGGTCAAAGTAGCAAAAAGTGCAACTGAAGTAATGGGATAGGTATAAAGAGTGCACAGTGCATTAACTGTGCATGCCAATACAGACTCTTTATGATACCAAGGGGATCAGATTGTAGTTAGTTGCTGATTTGCTTAGTGTTACTTTGAGCACTGTATTTTTAATCCCTTCAAGTGTGCTGCCAAAAATTCTATCATTGGCAAGTGTGCCTCAAACATAAAAGGATAACTATTGCCTTGAGGCCATTAATTTCTTGGTTCCGTTGGGTAGAACCAAGAACCACACAGAAAAAAGTTTAAACAAGCACAAACCCTTCAATAGCTGAAGTTAGAATACTACTTCCTAAGTTCTTCACAATTCTGGGTTAAAAATATTGATTTTTTACAAAAATCTTATCATGGCTAATTTTGAGTTTCCCCACTATCTCTGGTCATTCTCCCCACTGTGTGCATGCTCTTCTTGTAGGGCAGCACTCAAGAATGAACTCAATACTCCAACAGCAATGTTGATTCTAACGTCAACTTTATTTTACCACGTGTTATTGACCATGACATAATGTTACTGTTTTTAATTATATGCAGCCATTTTATGCAGATATGTAAATCACCATTACCAAATAATGATTACTTACCGAGATGTTTTCTCCAGACCTGACAAGCTTTTTCTTCAGTTTTTTCCTTTCATGCATTAGATCACTGTGGGTCTTAAGCAATTCTTCAAAGCGAACTTTGGTTTTTACTTTTGCTTCACTCTCAGCTACAACAGAGAGTCACGTCATTCTGTAAACAACTCTATTATAACACATAACCTACATTACTATTATGTTAAGAAATAAAGTCTTGTAAATACCTGCATGAGTTCTCTAGCTACATTAGAAAAACTCGACAGTCTTTCCTTCTTAAAATACTTTTTACTTTGGCTTTAGTGATACAACATTCACCTGTAACCCTCTGACCTTTTTGGCCACTGACTCTAAAAGTCTCCTTTGCTGAATTAACTTTTTATTTCTGATAAACGGTAGCATCTACCACTGTCAGTTACATGTTATGTGGCTTTAGACAAGTTACTTAACATTTCTGAACTTCATTTTCCTTATCTGAAAAATCACAATTATCCTATGTCAAAGATCATTTTGCATGAAAAATGGCTAAAGCCTGCCCAGCCTGTAATCAGTAATCCACAAATATTAACATTTAAAAAAAATTTCTTTAAAACATGAATCAGATAATGCTTAAGCCCATGAAAGTTTCCCATTTTATTTAGGATAAAATAAGTCTTTCACATGCCCTACAGGGTTCCATACCTCCTGATCTAGAGATAGAGCTTGAAATCAAGACAAATATCCTCTTAGATGCCTACATTTTAGCTATAATACCCTTCCTTTAGCTCCTCCATCACAGCAAGCTCCTTCCCACGTGAAGCTGTTTCTGAGGCAAGCTTCCTCTAACTCCTCACGTGGCTGGGGGTTAACCTGTCTGTTTAAATGCTGTCTCTAAATAAAACATCTGACATCTAAGTTTTCCTTTTTCTCACATAGCAGGTTGTTCTCTTCCTTCACAGCACTTAACACAAATGGAAATCATATAATTATTTTTATATCTATATAAAGAAATATATTGCTTGGTTCTCCCATAACCACATCCCTAGCTACTATTACAAGGTCTGACACAGTATATATACTCAGTCATTATGTTTTAAATTAATAAATGTTGAATGAATGGGTACTCTAGAGCAACTGTTGGCAAACTATGGCCTGCAGGCTAGTCACTTGTTTTTGTAAAGTTTTACTGAAATCAGACAGGCCTATTTGATTATGAATTGTTATAACTGCTTTCATGCTTTAAAAGAGAGAGAGCAAGAGACAGAGTTGAGTAGTTACAGTAGAGACCAAGCCTAAAATATTTATTAGCTGGCCCTTTCAGAAAAGATTGCCAATGCTTGTGGTAGAGTAAAACATTCAATTTTGATGATAAATAATAAAAATTAACCCTATGTTGTAATCATTATTACTTTGTTTAGCTGAGTCCCAAACTACCATCCATTAAATACATACTAACCTTAATCACAACATTAAATAGAAAACTGAATATAAAACCAATAAATATCTCTAAAATGTAGCATATTTGGTCAATGACACCTACTGTATTCATTAATCTGTTAAAGAATCCCTTAAAATAAAAATAAACCAAACTTAAAATTAAATGTATAAAATGTAAATTTTATACATACGTTTCATAAAAGTCTTACCGGTAGGCATTTCTCAGCTTTATGCAGAGGACTGAGAATGTTAAGAACTGACTCAATCAGGATCCTGTTGAAACAAAGAGGACATATTTGTAATATGGAACTTCCAAATAAAAATTATAAAATATTCTTTACACAAGATCATGCCATTGTATGTTCACTACTTCATTAAGTTTATACCAATAAAGCTATGTTACCTTATCCCAATCTTATGCAAATGACTTGGGTACATTTGAATCAGTTTAGGGCCCTAAAATCGAGGGAAACAAACTGGATCATCTCTGAATAAAGTATTTATATATTTGAAACAAACCAAAATAAATTTTGAAGGCAATCATCATCTAACGTCATATGTTAATAAACTTTTTAAAGTGTTTTAATAAATTAATAA